CAGGTATATTGCTGCACAGTTGGTCTAGGGGTTTGGACTTTACAGCATCGCTTACTGGCTTCCTGCTAACCACCGGATTAGGTGGAATACTGCTTTGTCCTAGTATGTCATCTGAACGCTTAAACATAATCTACTTCTGAAAAGACATTCCAGTTTTAGATATGGTATGTACAGTAGTGGCATAAGGCATTAATACAGTTCAGACCAAACAAATGTCTTTTCATGAAGCAGCAATCTGTAGCAATTCTAGAACAAAGTCTTCTGCTCCCTATGCAGGAGCAGATCAGAAAAGAACCTGGACCTACGTAACTCATTTTCTTCCCATTGTGTTTGTCCATTACCCAGATGAAGTGCACACTTCCCATGCTGTTCCATTCATAGAGCCCAGTGTTCATTCAGAAACAGAATGCTTCCTTTAGTTGATGGATTAAAGGCAGGAGGGGGGGAGGAGTGTAAAAATGTTTTGGGATGTGCAATACTTCAGGAACAACGTTTAAAGGTTAGTTCACACTAAAAGCTTGTAATGCTTTTTTTTCTTTACACAACTTCAAAACAAAACAGGTGCTGCCTCTTAAACGAGCAGAAATAGCTTTAAAAAGCAAGACCTAAAGCAGATTTTTGTGCAATTGCTGAGAAGTTAATTTCAGGTTATTTTTTAAATCAATCTTATATTACACTTCCAATATGGTATAAAAACTAAGCGAACGCATTTTTTTTGCCCTGCCTTGATTAATCTAGTATTGTATTTTCGTAAGCTGAAATATGAACCTAGGAATGTGTATTAGTGACCTTAAAAAAACAAGTAAACTCTGTAAGCAACTTTAAAGGTTATTGTTTGCTTTTCATCTTCACTTGCAAACCAGGTGTCTCTAGCAAAGCAAATCTGAGGAAAAGCTACTTTTGTTGGAATCTCTTTGTGAACAAAACAGATGACATAAAGAGCAGGTGTTAAAATAGTGAAAAAGGCAAACAGCAGTTATTTTACAGGATGTTTAGCTGTGGAACAGCTAGGAAAAAAATCAGGCTATTCTAAAGCATCTTCTTTGGGAATCTTTGCTCAAATAAAAGAAACATTTCTCTGTCTTGTAAAACAGAAAATCTGCCTTTTGATCCCTCAAAGAATGGGTTAGATATACTTATCCTATTCTTCTTGTAACTGATTTCCCAGGGACTGACAGGAAAAAGCATAGTTTTTACTAAATAAGGATGCTGGAATTTGCTTAGTGGTTTCTGTTTACCTGATGCCACTTATGATAATGTGTTTGCCTACTTAAGTGGCATTTAGCACTGGAGTCCTGTGTGTGATTTTACTATTTATGTTAGGAAATTGCTTAGCAGCTGGGTAGATTAGACTGTTTTACTTTGTGTGTTTTTCATCCTGCATTGCACATCTGTTAATGTTGGTCTTAACATTACAATAGTGAGCATTGTAAATTAATAAATAGAAAGGTAAGTATGTGGAGGGAAGTATGTTTGCCTGTGAGATTAGAAAACCAAAAGCTACTGAACTGACATTATTTGGGTGCCTAAATTAAGCATCCTAAACCCATAAAGACAGATTTAGAGGCCCACACTGCAGCCTTCAAGTGTAAGCATTTTGGATCTAACCTTCAAGGTTCATTTTTAGGTAGGTGAAAACACTGTGCTTTCTGCTTTGAAGTGTGATTTCTGTTTCTTATACATCCCAGTTCTCTAGCAGGTTCCTTTGATATATCATGCTAGTTCTGTAACTTTGTAACTGACGAGAGAAGTGAACCCTAATGCAAAATTATTTTATGGTCATGGAAACTTAGAATAAAGAATTGGCTGCTCACTGTAGACAATTGTGAATTCTCTCCATTTGCGACAAGTATTTGTTTCTTTATGAAAAAAAACCCTTAGGACATCACTGGGACACTTATTTGGAGATCCTATGTCAACTGCTCAGTTAAGTCTCCAAAATATTTATTGCTTAGAAGATAGCATCTTGCCTATGCTATGGGACACAGACACTCATAAATTTACTATGCAATTAAACTATACTATCACACTTTTTCAGGTACCACTGAAGTAAAGGTTTATCAAAATCTATTGAACAGTATAGCAGTTAGAATCGAATGAGTTTCTACAAAAACATGGAATAGTGATCAGGTTTATTCTCCGGTAATATTAAGAACCTATGCAGGACACACTTTTTTCTGTTGTTTCAGGTAGAATTTTACAAATGTTGCCACTTTGGTAATAAACACATCGCCTTCCCTTAGTTACAATGGAGTTGTATTAAAGGAAGCTATGTGGCATCTGCAACACCTTTTCCAGAATATTTTTCCCTTGAATATTGTATACTTGAGTGGAAATGTTACAGGATGCGAAGGACATCTGCTAGTGTACTTTCTTGAATTTCTATCACTTCACTAGGCTAATATCACTGCAAGTCAGACTTGCGGTCCTTGCTTAGAATTATAATTCTTTATCAGTGGGTCTTAATATGTTAAGTTCTGCAGGCAAGTTTTAAAATCACGTTTCAAATAACATTTTTCAGACATGCCTCGGATAAAGGTACATTCCATATTCTTTAAATAGAGCTACAATAGCCCTGGTCAGCTAATCATAAATGACTAGCTGGTTCTTTCATGTCAGAAATTTCAGACATGCCCGCAGCCTGCCTGCACATGTAATTACTGTTTGTCCAGGCAACTCAAATGCAGTGACAAACTTTAAAGCAGGAGCTCTGCACAACAGTGCAGTTCTCTGTTCCCTTCTGGTCAGCAGAATTACGGTCTCAGACTTCCAAAGAGCATTTTGATTGAAAGGTCATTCCAAAATTTGGTTTAGATAACGCACTTTGGGAACTGAGAAGCCGTTAGGAGGAAGTAACGCAATGGAATAGGTAAGAGGGGGCTGGAAGCGGGCTTTTGGGAATAGAAGCCGTGTTCTCCTACCTTCATTAGCCACTGAGTGTTGTTTTCCATGATGTTTTCAAGTAGCTGCAGTCTTTGGACCGAATCGTCGTAATCTAAAGGTGCGTCCCTTTGCACCGCGTTGGACACGTAGGAAGAGGAAGATTGGCAGCTGTCCGTCTCGGGCAAGAGGAAGGTGTAGCTGCAGGAGCCGTGCTGAACCTGGTACTGCTTCTTGCCTATCGCCTCCATGCTCTTACTAAAGGAGTTGTATCCTGAAGCTAAGAGAATGCTGCAGCCCAAAAAGAAGTAACCAGTCAGCTGCATTTTAAATTCCTGCGCGACGCCAGCAAACCTAGAGGGCTTTAGCGCGCCGGCGAGCGCCCAGACCTAGCTACCCCTCGCCGCAGCCGGGCGCTCCGCT